TAATTGATAATTTTGTTGATCAGAAAATTAACAAATCAATCACAGAAGAATATAAGAAGAATATGATACTCAGCAGTAATGAAAGCAATTTATTACTACTTGTTTTATTCAGTTTTTTGGAGTTGAATTTTACTTAAAAGCATAAAACAAAATTAGATTTATCAGCTGTGTACTTAAATCAAATTTGAACACATACTTTCTATCGTTTCTGATCTGCATTATAAATAGACTCACTGATCAATTTACTAATAACGTAAGTATGCGAAATATGAATATGATATTTTAATACCAGTTTTATGATGCTTGATGACATTCGTTTTTTCTTATTTCAATTTTTTTTTTGGAAAAATAAAATTTACAAAAATTATTATTTTCACCAGTATATCTGGAAATATTTTTAGAATAATTGTAGACAACATAAAGATAGATCTTGGTCTACCTTAAGCTGTAATATTGGTCTAATTCGAAACTAATAATTTCAAATAATTAATAAAAAATGTTTTTATTAAAATATTTATTACGATACAAAACACAAAATATATTTTTTACATTATAAAATATACACCACTTTTGGATACATCAGCCAAAAAGTTTTCATTTTATTATGAGTCTCCATCATATCTTTATGCAAATTTCTGCTTTGCAATAAATGAAATAAAAGTTATATAAGTACATTTACTGAAATATAATTCGAAAAATAAACTTTTCAATTTCATCGCTATACGAAAATATCAACAAAAAACATACATAGAAATACATTACATTACTTAGATCTGTAAACAATTCTAAGAGTACATTTTTGGAGGAAAAAATTTCAATTTCAATCCAACACTACGAAAACAAATTATGCTTTTACTCGTACAAGGTTTTATTAAACAATATTTCGATTAAAAAAGTAATTTACTTAATGATTTTTAAAAATGAGAATCATCTAAATTAGCAATACATTTTCTAACAATAAATTTTACTGTTCAAATATTTTAAGCAATAAAAATTGATAAACATAAAAGATAACAAGTTTTTAATGAGATGAAACAATTATTAATATTTTACAGTAAGTTATAAAACATAAAAATTTTTTAGATAATTATTTTACAAATTTTTCTATTTTTTGATATTATTTTGCTATAAAAATGCCAAAAACAAGCCACTTAAAAATAAGTGTTATCTTTCGTATTTTTTTCAATACTTTTTTAAGCTCAATGAATTTGTCAGCTTGAAACGATTCGCATATTTTTACATTTCATTTGGCAAAAGCTTAAACCAAACCAGTTGTTAAATTTAAATTAGAATTCCAATTGCAGTACAAACTTGTTTTCAGGCTGAATAAATGCCTAAAAAGAGAACAGTTTGATCACAATTCAATACTGACCTTTTTTTTTAAATGATATAAACATTTAGAACACTCATAAATTAATATAATTTAAAAAAATACATAATATTAGAATTTAAGGAATGAAAATTATTGAATTCAGTTAAGAAAATGAAAATGAATTAAATGAAAATTAATATATTAAATGAGTAAATGAGTACACAACACAATAAGAGTGCATAAAATATATAAAAATAAAATAAAATAAATTAAGTCTCATTTTGAAAAAGTAAGAGAATTGAAATGATATGAGTACAGAAATAAATTTAATGCTTTTTAAAGAAACAGATGAATTAGAAATTTGCAATAAATTACTAAATTTTGTTCAGAAAAAACCAAAATAAAAAATATAAAAAAAATAAAAAACAAATAATAAATAAATTTGCGATAAATCCAGTTTGGTATTGAAGAAAAATTTGAAGAAATTTTTAAAAAATAGAAGATAAAAAAAGAAAACTCACTATGTACAAATTCGATGAATGTTGGCATATCAAATTTTCAGTAAGAAATGCAAAAAATTTTAAATAAATATAAAGAAAATCATGATAAAACTTGTTGCTATAAATGCTCGGACAATCATCTCGCAGTCTTTTTGCTACTTCAGTTATTCAATTTTGGTAGTTAAATTTAGAATGGAATAGATTAAAATTGAGTACTTTTGAATTTAATTTAATAAAAATTACACTTTGTAAATGCAATTCAAATTAGATTAAATTTTTTGAGTAAAAAAATTTTTTTGTGTAAAATTCTTTAGCAATAAATGCATGCATCAATTATCAATTTAAGCATGTATGATATTATCATCATCAAAAATGAAATTAATATTGCTTATACGAAAATGTAATTGAACTAAACTCATTTTGTCTATAATTACTTTAATCTTGCCTATTACTGATTTTATTGATTTGCATACTTATTAACTAATTTAGTAATTTAAAATAAATTATTTTCAGAAAAATAAGTGTGCTGTGCTTATTTGCATTACATACGTTTACTAAGTGTCAATGAAAGAAATTAATTCAAATCATTCTTTTAAATAAATTTGATACCGCAAGTTTTTGATTATTGTAAAGTGCACTTCACATTGATTACGGTTTATGATTTTAGTCTTAAATTTCTAGAAAATATAATAAAGCATTTTTACCATATTTTTTATTTATAACAATAATAATAATAACATTGATAATGATAATAATAATAATAATAATAATAAATAATAATAATAGCACAAGTTCTAATAACTTATAGGACTATAATTATATTTGCTTGAAATGTCATAAATTACGATTAACTTTGAGTAGGACATAAAACCAACTCCATAATTGCTACTGATCATAATTAAATATACAAATATGAAACAATAATTTATGTGGTATACAGATTTAGCATTTTTGTTTGCTGAAATAATTTGCATGTAATTTAAGTTGTTTCCATTTGCAAAAACTATATTTTGCCACAAGTTTTCAGATGAATGTTAAATAATTTCATTTGCCAGCAACAATTATCTGCAAAATTCATCTTACTTACCATTTTTTTAAATCATAAAAAATAGCATACTTGTGCTCTTCTTGTAAACTTTAAGTACACTCTGTAATTTTATTTCTCGAAAACATTTTTCATTCCGTCCATTTTAACAGCACACTTTCGTACTTAAAAATATTATTCAATTAGCTGCTTCAAAAAAAGAAAGCAAAAAAATTTTTTGAAATTGACAAAATCACAATGGCAAAAATTATTACGATATGAAAATGTTGTAAGTAACAATTAAAAAAACACTAACAATTTTTAAAATTGAAAATGACAGTAACAAAAATACAGTAATTTAATTTTGTAAAAAAAATCGTTAAATTCAAATAAAAATGATGGCAAACGACAGGATGCACAATGTATTAATGTCATTAGAGAACAGGTAAGTTAAGGCACGAATCACAATACCAACCTGTCTCCAACATCAACATTACAATAAGTCACCTGCGCATTTAATTAAATATCCAAAATTAACTTTCAGATCGATTTTTAGCAATAATAAAAATTTAAAAATAAAAAATAAAGTTACGAAGTGGTAAAGTAAGGAAGTTGAATAATTAATCTGAATTGACTTGCACTATAAAAATCTTTTTTCTTCCTGAAATTATAATTCGAAATTTAAAATACTGCTAATGTCACTTCTCTTAAATCATTTACGACTATATTAATTAGATATTTTAATTTATTATACAATTTTTAGCTTATTTATTGATTTATCATAAAGTTTTAGCTTATTTACTCGAACTTTATTCCACCAAATATTGCTAATTTATCTTTACTTTTACATTTTCATTGCAATTTTAGTAATTTCCAAATAAAATTTGCAAAGTATTCAATTAAATCTCATTCTTCGATTTCTATTTTATACAATAAAAATAAAGCAAAATATTCAGAAAAACTATTTATGCTATTTTATTTAAGCAAAATTCTTTTTCAATTAGGTTGGTATTGTGAATTCGCGCCTTAACTTGAAAATTTGCATATATTAAGTGACTAAAAATGCATTTGTGCATATGAAAGGAAGTAAAAATTGACTAAATTTTAAAAAATAATAACTTATAAGTATTGATTTTGCAGTTGTTAATAATAATGTTGAACTCGTTACCTCAGGATTTATGTTTTTCGTAAAATTTTTAGCGAAAATTGGCGTAAATAACTTAACGTGGGAGGAAAATTGATAATGCTTTTAATAACAATAACAAAATATAAGTAGCAACCAATCAGTTCAGTCTAGAATTAATGGTTTAAGATTACTTAAGATTCGCCCCAATATTTTACTGCTTGAAGTGGATTAAACTTTATAATTTAACTCTTATAAAAAAGATAAATGAACTAATAATTGACTTAATAATAAATATTAACATAAGTTTAAATGTAAATTCAAACAGAAGGTCAGTATTTTTCAGAATTTAATGAATAAACGTGAATTTACTTCACATTTTGCAGAGTTAAAACGAAATTCATGCCAGCCATATACCTAAAAAACAATCACTGAGGTCACGATAGGCTACTTTTGCAGCTAAAAAAAGCTGACTAACGCAATTTCTTTTTTGTGCTTTTTTTCTCTGCCTCTGCCCATCAATACGATCAATTTCAGCTTTTTTAGTCTCTATTCTCATTTTCTTCCCTTAAAATAGGCAGCTAGTTATGACTCTATGTTGTTTCTAAAACGCACTGTTTTTTTCTAATAAAGTCTAGCGTTTCTCCAATTCCGTTGTCTTTTATTTTATAGTCTCATTTGGCTAGACCGCTGATGATAACGAGTGGTTTTGAAAAGAAGGAAAGTGCAGTTGTGCTGAAGATCAGTTAACTTTGGGTTTAAACTGAGACTAGGTGACGTGAGCTAGAATTAGTTTTAAATTTATGTTAGTGTAGAATTATCAATACTTTTTTTCCCTTCATGTGAGGGTACTTGATTTTCCCGAGAATTATCAATGACTTTCTTGATGCCCAGTAAAGTTTTTTTTTTTGATTTCATGAACCCATTTGACTTTTTGAGTAGATTAAAATCATTTCTTTCATTTTTTAAACAACTTTTAATTTTTGAAGTAACGTACTCGTCTTTTAATTTCTGAAGAAAAATATTTAATTTTTTAGATTAATGGAATATGATAGAAACGGATCAAGAATCGCAAAAAATAACGGGCTTATTACCGCATCGATTATGGCGTTTCTTACTTAAGATTGCTCTTTATCATCGTACATTCTCCGTGTTCAAATTCACCATATTAATGGGTATTTTGTTCACAGCTGTAAGTACTGTTCTCTTTTTACTCGTACAAAATAATACAGAAATCACTGGAATGCACCACACAATTTGTTTATTCATTTGCTAGTAGTTATCTTGAATTTTTTTTTGAAAAGTAATATTGTTTTATCACGATTTGTAATTGATATACTTTGTACCATTTGTATTAGTTTGTTTTGTAGGCTAATGTTACATAATTTTTTGGATATACGGCCATGAAACTTTTTTGCGAAAAAACAAAACAATTATAATCACTAGTTATGCAATACTTATTACTGTCAGTGGTGCAATATCTGTGACACATTTATTTTCACTGTGTATTTTCAATCCTGACAGTCATTTCCATTCTGTATACAAGAGCATTTAAGATGATCAGGAAATTTAAGGTTCTTAAAGCAGAGATAGTGAAATTAAGAGTTTCACTTTATTTTGTTGTTTTGTGCAGTAACACAAAATATTATGAAATAGTGGTAATAATTAGGTTAGTAATTGTAAAAAATAAAAACTTTATCGCAGTAGTGTGTTGTAATGCATTTCTTATTCAGCTACTGTATTATTTATCACAAGATCGGGCAATTCTTGTTGAAGATCGAAGTTATGGGATTGTTGCGAACGAAGGTCAACAAACTCGTTATGTTATTGAGTCAGGACGCTGTTCTGATGTAACTAAAAATTGCTACATTGTTTATGACGATGTTGATATACTTACGTGAGTTTGTTTTCTATGTGGATTTTTTCAATGTTTTATATTTAATTTTTTAATTTTCTCTTTATTAATTTTATTAAATCTATAATGCTTTATAACAAGCGCACTTCATGCACAGAGTTTTAATTTTGATTAAGATAATCCAAAAAAGGTTTCAAAAGTTTGTTTTGATAGTTGTGAATCACGAAGAACTTTTGCAACTTTTTCCAAAGAAGTTTGTTTTCATATTTTTCAGCACTATGAGGACAAGATTTTAGTCTTTAAAAACTTCGCTGTTCATGATTTTCACGACCCATGTTTGGATGCACATTAATATAGTCTGTTGAAACCAAAATTTTTAGTAATGATGTAAATCGTTATCTGTTATTGCAAGATGTAAGAGAACCCGAGACTGCTGTTCGTCTCATTCCAGCTGCAGGTTTTAATTTCAATTCTAATGTAAAGTACTTGTTTCCACTACATATGACTGTGAAGTAATATGAAAAAAGATGAAATTTTTGAGCACCTTTATTAGATTTGTGGCAAATGCCGGATTTAGAGCAAAATTAATTTTAGGGATTTCTTTTATTTTAAATCATGAAAGTGTATGCTTCTTTTTATTCTTAAGGATTTAGGTATCAAGTCTAAAGAATCGGATTCGCGATTTTGGAAGGTGAATCACACTCATATTAACACTCAGTATGTAGCAGTTATGTTGACAGTGCCATTTGGAGTTGCTACATTGGCATTATCAGATTATATGAATCATGCTGCAGATGTTCTCATAGTTGGTCTTGGTGGTGGCAGCATGAATATGTTTCTAGCAAGTCACTTTCCGAAGGTCGATTTTTCGGAAATTTCGTAAATGTATAGACTCACACTCATTAAAGGTGATCAGTTTATTGAACTTTTGGTGACTTTCTAGGTGCCTATTATTCACTGAAAGTGAACTTAATTCAAGAAATTTGGTCTATTGAAAAATGTCTTTTGGAATACCATTATTTAGCATATTCATTAGGTAATGAAGAAAATCAAATTATGTTCAATGAGATATTATAAAAAATTTCGAATGTATTATATCTGTTTTTTGAAGGCATGTGCTCTTTGTTAAAAAAAATTAAATTTAGTGTGAAAACTTAGTTCACTTTTATTTGAGAGATTGATGGCTTATAAATCGATTTTAACGGATGTTCATTATGTAAAACTTTTTGTTTATAGATGGCAATAACTGTTGTTGAATTAGATCCCATTGTTATTGACATAGCATATCAATGGTTCGGTCTAGAAGAAAAGGAGAATGTTAAAATCATCACATCTGATGGTGTAGAATTTATAAGAGGAGCAGCAGATAAAAGTGATGCATCTTGCTGTTTGGAAATTTATTTTTCTCGTTTATTCTAAAATTAATTGTGGTTGTTAAATAAACAAATTGAACAAATTGAAGCAATTACAAGTCATGTGATATGACTTTTTTAAATGGTATTTTAGGTAGTTTGTTTGACATCGTAATGATTGATGCATGCGGCAAAGAAGGTGAAATAACTTGCCCAGCTATAGCATTCACCCAGTCATATTTTATAGAAAATTTGAAAAAAATTTTAAAACCAACAGGTGTGTTGTTCTCTTACATTTACTTGTATTTATTCAATAAACTTCTTTAGAAGAATAATTTCAAATAAGAATAGTCTGAGATTTTGTATGTCTCATTCTGTCTGCTTATTATTTTAGGAGTTGCAGTACTAAATGTCTTGCCAACCGATGATGTTACGGAGCCGGTCAAAAAGGTTTGACTTCTCTTAAGACTGGCTACCATAGTTCATGAATGCAATTTTTTAAAACAGCTGCGACTTATACGCCAAAATTCTTATTTTCGGTTTTATTGCATTACATCCTACAATGCCCATTTTACCATTTTCGTTCATCTTGCATTCTATTTTTTTGAATTTATAGTTGGTACGGAAATATAATGAGCAATTTCCAACATGTTCGGTTGTTCGACTTTTTCGTGAAATGAATACCGTACTTTCTTGTCAAATTCTGGAACTTTCTGATCCTCACACTAGTCAGCGTTTGATATCAAAGCAGTTTCAAAATTCTTGGGAACATTTCGGCTTCAGTCACCAGTTTGGTGTTATGGAGATGGTACTTACAAACAGTGGAAAACAGAATGATAGCAACTGAATTTTAGCATAAAAATTAAAATTGATTTGCTCAATAACGACTTAACGCAACTGCAATTTATTATTTTACACCTATGTGGTGTTGTTCTCAAGTAAAATTCACTGGCAGCGCTGTCAAGAGTTGGTCAAAGATTATGTATAAAATTTTTTATATTATCGTGACACAAGCAATTTAGATTTTGAGGAGATTTAGGAGATTTTGATCTTTTTTATATATTTGTTGTGATATGTACTCTTTCTACAAAAACATTGTTGCTTTACTTCTACAGTATGCATCAGTTTGGGTTAACAATTACTCAAAGACAAAGACCTGCGTTTGCAAATTATTATTTCAATAATAATTTGCAACTACAGACTAAAAAAATTAGATGGAAGTTATGGTAAGTAATATATTGTCTAATTTAGTATTTATTTGTATCCCTTCAAGTTTTTGATATTGATTTCAGTGGTGTTGATCAAGTTCGTGTAACTGTTATTTTGAATTTAAGTTTCATTGAATCAAAATTAATGTCATGTCTTCTCTGACTTTTTGTTTTTATGGAATTTTACATTGCCATTTTTGCAAGGAATAAAAAAAGTGTTATGTACCTGCCAAGGAAGCAAAGCATGAGCAGAAAATATGTTGGTTCAACAAAGAGGAGTTTCTCTTACTATAACTGTAAACACTGACAGTAGTACAATAATATCTATTTCCATTATTTCTACAGCAGATCACTGTGATGTATTCATTTTACTGGTAAAGTAGCATCACAATGAAATCGGAGCACATGGCATTAGGTGAGAGGAATAGTTTTCAGATAATCGGGATCAGTTCCAATCACTTTCGTTATATAAAAGGCATGCAGTGTGTACACAATCGACAGAAGTTCATCACTGTCAATGTCCTGAATTAATTTAAAATTATGGAAGCACTGACTTCTGTTATTTTTATGTTTGGCTCTTGAAATGTGTAATGAACAGAAGCAGTTTGGAAAGTAATTAAACTCTTGTACACTTGGTTCCAACTTGTGTTCTGATTTTTATGCTTGATTTTGAAGTGAGAAAAGTGTGAGTAAATAATTAGAGAATAAAGTACGTGTAGTGACTAGAAGTTGATCATTTCTTCGTCTTACATTTAGAAAAGTATCATCATGAAAAAGTGCCACCAACTTATGCAGTTTTTTGTATAAATCTGTAACATTTCTTGCTTCTAAGCCTTATTTAAGGTAATGTGTAAACAAATGCTTTATATAACTTACTTTAATTAGTGAATCATTATTGGAGGAGTCTCGTTCATCTCGAAAAATAAGTCTTAATCGCATTTTTCCATCATCACATGATGATTCCAAATCACAAAATTGATACTGCCAAGAATAACGCTTAAAATTCAGTTCAAGATTTTTTTATTTGGCCAGAAACATTGCAAACTTTTATTTCGGTTCTGAACTTGCAATTTTGAGTTGAATAGAACAAAAATTTGAATTTACTTTTGTAGTAATATCATATAAACTTATGCCTTGCTTGATATCAATTACCAAACCGCTAGGACGTGCATCATAAATACAGGCGAATGTACGAGTCTGAAATTGAAATCATGTCTTACGTAGCTGTAAATGATAGAATCTGCCAGACAAAAACTGTAATTTCAACGAAGAATGAAAACAAAACGTAATAAGCGAACGTCTGTAAGTAAATACCACTTTATATCAAAGAAATTAACTAATTATTAAATTTTTTCAATTTGTTTGTTATTTATCTTTTTTTTGGATTTAATTAATGTTAATAAAATTTGTAAGTTATCAAAGAGTGCAAAAATACTTGTAAATTTTTGATAGTGTTATGCAAACAACGATGATAAGCAATGTCGAACTGATTAAATTGAAGATGGTTCTCAGCAGACATGTAATGCTTCAAGCCATTTACAGATGTTTCAATCCAGAAACAATAATCACGTTTATCAAACTTTGGCTTATCACGATTAACTACTTTCAAAGCTGTGTCGTAAATTTTGTACAGTGAAACACACTTGTTTAGATCATCGGAATTTAGCTAGAAAATTATTCATTAAACAAGTTAAAATTTAAATTTATACAAATTTTTAGCATAAAAAAATTAGTGCTTCTGAAAGTTTATGGTTTTACTGTTTTAAAGATTTTTAAAAATTTCATGACTTTGATTTATGTTATCAAAAGTTAAAGTCTGATCAGTACAGGTGGAGATTCAAAAATGCAAATTTCTCCTCCTTTCAAGATAATAAAACGTGGTTCCCAGTGTTGGCGAGGATCTTTGAAATGCTCTTCTGGTAGCCGCTCACTTATCCAACCAATATAAGTAATCTGGAAATAGTATTGGAAGTATCAATATCACGTGTATCACATAGTACATAATGAACTGAAACTCGTGCATCTTTGTGATCTCAAAATGTAATCCTGTTTGTTACCCATGTTTTAGTTAATTGCTATTTTGAAAAGGACATTTTTGAATTAATCAACTTTTTAGTTCGGTTTCGAATACTGCAACTAAACATTGATAGCAAGGAATTGTGAATTTTTTAAATGGTTGGCTTAATTTAATTACGGAGATATCAAATTCCTCTAACCTGTTCATTTTTATGCAAATATTTGTTAGATAGTTTTATGGATTTGCAATTTAGTGATGTGATACGATTCTGAATGTGCTTGATCCACTGTTCTAAAGTACTTTTATCTTCACAGTGCACAATACCTGTTGATGTGCCATCCACGGCTCGAACTTCAAATGCATTGTTTCTAAATAAATAATTATTGCTATTTAAACTTCAACAAAAACTTTGTCTGAAGTTAACAGGGATTGTTGCATGAATTCACACTTGCTACTATGATTCATATGGATAAACTGAAGCCAATTAATACAGCTGAAACTCAATAATTGCATAAAAGCTTACTAGTTGCTATGTTCTGTATTAAAAAATAATATTCACGTGAATTTTGTTGCTGCAAATTTATAAGAAGCTTTAAATGAAGTAGTGAAGTAGTCAAAGTAGTACATAAATAATAAAGTTGATCAGTCAGATCTACATTGATTTCAGCATCAATTTTATGGATCAGTTTTTGATTCAAGTTTTTCTAATGCAATGCGTGGATGGTATAAACATCGAATCTACCTAAGCTTATCAGTTCCCCAAAGATAACGTGTGATAAAAGCCATGGGTAATGGAATCTTTGCCATCGTTTTCCAACCAGTTGAAGAATCATCCGCAACAATGCCTGTTGGTAAGTTTTGCGTACCATCGGATAAAATTGATGATTGCGCTCTTAGTGAACACTAAATTTAAAAAATCTGTATTTATTTTTTTACTTAAACTTTCCAAAAATGCTTTGGCGTGTAAAAATTTGTCTCAAAATTTTTAAAAATATTCATATTTATGCCTCATCTCAAATAAAAAATTATAAAGTTTATGCTTAATGATAAAAGTTCATCAGCGATGATAACGAACTTTCCACGTATTCGGTTCATAAAGACGGTCAAAAGCGCTCACATTACGAGTTTTGAGTGAATCAGATGGCCTGTAATGACTTATTCTGGCTATCAGACTGAACCAATATATTTACTTTCTTGGCTGAAAGTCTAGGTTTGGGGACCTTCTGTTTTCAAATCTGATTGTGAGTAATACATTTTTAACTTTTTGCTGAAGAGCAGCCTGAATTTAACGGTAATTTATAAAATTAAATAGAGTTTTTGCCTGAATCAAATGGAAATACAGACTTTAAACAAGTTCGTATAAGAATTATATCTATTTTATGATGTTATACTAAAAAAATTTTTGAATTTTCACAATCATGGCTATATTTTATATTTATTATATATATTTATTTATATTTATACAGAGAGAGATTTTTAAAAATTAAATTAATTTAAATTACAAAGTTTCACCTAAATAACCAAATTTTAATCGAAATTTACCAAATATTTTTTTTAAATTACTGCACCTTCTTTGACTTATATTACTAACATTAGGTATGAAGCAATCTGCAAATAATGTCTGACGTTTAGGATCACGTCATCTCCTGCATCTCGTAGAATCTGTACGATTTCATCGTGAGTTTTGCCATCAGTAAGTTGTCCATTAATTTCAACAATAGCATCGCCAACATAAAGAAGACCACATTCTTCAGCTGAAAAGAATTAAATAAAATGAAATTTTTGAATGAAATTCCTACTGTGTTAGAGTTCATTAGGTCAGGCAATTAAATATATGGATTACCATAATGAATGAAGAAAAAGCATTTTTGGTGTTATCTAGAACAAAAATTATTATGCATGGCATGAAAGTGGTGAAACTTTGCTAATCTAATAACTATTAAACCAAGCTAGTTTGAATTTACGAAAAAAAAGTAAGAAAAACAAAGATTGGTAGCTGAAAAGTTGCTTCTTACACACGCACCGGGAGTGTTTTCGAAAATTTTTGAAATTACCACCGGAACTTGCTGGTTTCCATCACTACCACCCTTAGAGTATTATTATTATTAATTATATTTTGCTCTATTATAATAAATTATTATTAAAGAAGAAATTATAAACTTTTAGTTATCAAAGACATTAATTTACTTTTATTGATAGTCCCAATCCAGAGTTATTTTTCTTACGCAATCTAACCCTTCGAATACCAGTGTCAGGTTCTACCAACGAATCCCTAACATCGTTAGAGTGACCACCTCCACTAGTTATCTGAATTATTAGCACATCTGAAATTTCATTAGTAAGTCAAGTAAAATGTGTTATTTTTGATATTAATTTTGGAAACACTTTGACTTTCATACGATTCGCATAATTAAAATTAATAATAGCAAATTTTTAAGACTTTTTCATTCTTAATTGAATGCATAGTGTTTTGATACTTTTGGTAAAGGTATATGATTCAAGAAAACTGATGAATCCGTGATATTATGTGGCACAATTCAAAACAATTAACCTTTTGTAAGTTCAAGCCGTGCTGGCCTTCCTCGACCTTTACCATCACTAAGCAGTACCATTCCATGATGAACCTGGTAATGAATACTTGATATCATTTACGAAAATAAAAAAGTTCACAAAATCTTTATCATGTTAATATTTTGCTTTCAAATAAACTGAAACATACGACATCAAAATTTTTCCCACGCATTTTCATTGCAAATTTTCGTTAATCCAAGCTGTAATTAAGAGGCCATGGATAACTGGATAATAATCAAAGATAAAACACGCTCGCAGAATATAGATAAAGCAGTACTCAGCTATTCGACTTCCCCACTGCTATACCTTTTTATCACACAAAGTTTAGTCCTAAACAAAGTTTGATAAATGAAAAGTAAAATACTAAAAGCAAGAATCAATAATTATTTACAGAATGAAAGTATAAAAAACTGAAAACAAAGACTTGCTTTGAAACTAACTAACTCTAGTTCAAAGGTTAGCAATTCATACGTAGATACTCTTATAAATGCATGAAATACTGACTGCAGATTTTGCGCTCTTCAATGATAAAGTGATAAAAGTTTAATAAAATATCATTGCTATATTAAAGTGGAAGAACAGGCACATACACATAAATATATGTGCACGCAAATACTCGTTAGAATGGGGAAAAGAATTTAGTACACAAAGTTGTTCACAAAGTGCTCTGCTAGGGGTCAAGAAGAACACGCCAGCTGTTAAATTAAACTTTGTAGCTAACACTTGAACAATAGTCTGTGCTAAGTTCGAATTCATCCATAAGCTAATATCGTTTTATTCAATTTGTACCACTCGCAAAAATTGAGATTAATCCTCCGCATATAATTTGGATCAAATGTTATTAGACTGATTTTATTTATTTTTATTTATTTAAATAAGACACTACAATTCTATTTAAGAGATATAATCACTATTATCATTAAGCATAAACTATCATTGAGCAAGAGATGTAATCATTTAAGAAATATAATCAAATTTTTCTTTAAAACTTTTCATGTATTTTAGTTCAAATATTTTCAAATTTTACAATAGATGTAGATCATCTATAACTTTTTTCTTCAAACGCTTGCTCAATGTGGTGCTGGTGCAGGAGGAGTTTGACCTCCACCAGCTGCAGATGGTGCTGGTGGTGGTAGAGAAGCTGGATCGGTTGGTGCAGCTGGTGTTCCATCGTTTTTGAGAAAATATGCCATAATACGACGCACTCCTTCATGTTTTGATTCTGGTGTCCAAACTTGTCTTGCAGTTTTATCTTTCTATAAGACATTAAATTGTAGTAAAAAAAAACACAATGTCTTTGCACTAAAATATAACTAATCAACAGTCTAGTTACTTCTCCTATGTGGTTTAGTACATGATTGACCACGTCTGAAAACTTATACGTTAAACTAAATGATAATTTAGGGGAGCGAGGCTACATCTATGACTTGTAACAAATAATATGCAATTAGATCAGTTAGAGAGAAACGCAGCTTACACGTACAATTTCTATGTATAACTCTCGCATGAGTATACTTTCCTGTATTTTCACTTTATTGCTCTTTTTTTTGACGATTAAATTCAAATTTTCAGTTACATAATTATTCTTAAGATTTATGATATCATCAAGCAATTTAAGAATAGACGAGATAAAGAATAAATCAAAACTAATTTCAATCAAACTGTTTAAACGTTTAATGTTGAAGACGAACTTCATCATTTCTCATATGATAAAATGCAAAATAATGTCTTGCACTCATAGGTATCGTTTTGCTTGAGAATATGATTTTAATGGAAACCGTAGCATCTGGATCACAGAATCCGAGTGGTGGACGTACTCGAAAAATCTCGTTTGATGTGCATTTAACCTTCAGATAAGGTGAAATTTATCAAATGCATGTATATTCAAAAAAGATCAGAATGAGTTTTTATTTATGCAAAATTTTGTGCTCTAAAGTTATGGAATATATTTATTTGAGATTTATTCAATAATGGACTTTATTAAAAAAGAATGAATTTATCGTAATATCCACTACTTCGAAGTATATTGATATAAAAGTATATTACTTCTACTGTTTTAAGTGAATAAAAAACCTTGAAGGTTTGCCTTTCCTTAGTTGTATTTGTCAATTTGACCTCGATCTGACATGGCTCTTCGCTCAGTTTATCGCTCCTGAACTCTAGCCTTCCACCTGGCTCCAGTTTCAACTGGAATGCTGGTTCACCTGGTTTATTTGGTGGTATTGGGACTAATATAGCAGATGGCTTGGGTATCGTGCCAGATTGAGCATTTGGTGTCTGAGCTTGATTCGGATTCTCAGCATTTGGTGTCTGAGCTTGATTCGGATTTGCTGTTGGTGCAGGAGCCGCCATTATTTAACTTTTACCTGATTATTGGAACTTGTAATGCATTTTTAATAGTACAGATCAAAAAAAAAATACAACCTAAAGCAAAAACCATTATTGCCGCTTTTGAAAAGATAAAATTTGAAAAATACCTAATACATAATCGATCTTTGATTGTAATATAAGAATATATAAGAATAATTGTATTTAAAAGATATTTCTAATGTAAGCAAGATTGACATCATACGTTGATAATTTATGATTTGTTTTAGTACAATCGAATTTTAAACTTTAGAATCAGTGGCAGAGACTTCTCACAAAGTAAATTCGAACAACAACATTGAAGACTGAACAGAAACTTATTCCAGGCGACTTCAGTAAGGGAAACAGCCACCTAAAAAGATGAAAACCGTACAATGACCTTATTATAATATTTACTTATGACATTTAAAGCATTATACGAAAAATTTGAATTTTGTCAAATTTACAAAAATAGATTAAATATATCACGATCTAAATTGAAGGTTGCGCATGTGATATGCGTACGTTCAGCAAATTTATAAATTTATTAACTCTAAACTCAAGCATGAAAATATCGTAGGTTCCAAGCTTCTCAAAGTTTAAGTAAGTTAGAGTGAAAGTTGAGATTCATTCAAGTCAGATAGAGGTAACTAAAAACGTGATATAACCATTTGTGATTACTTCATGATAACAAATTGAGATTGAATCTTTTGGGAAATATTAATCAAAAATGCATAATTTTTTATTTTGCATTAAATATAAAACTTTTACATAAAGTTGTGGTTTTAATTAGTAATTTGTAATTTCACTATTTTAATCAAATTTAGACAATTTTTACATATTACTTTCTTATACGTTTTCTGATTACTCACATATCTATATTGAATTTATGCATATTTTTGCATATTGATTACTTGTCATCTATTTAGTCAAATTTAAAAGAAAAAAATGATAGATAATAACAGAGATATTTGATTAATCAGAGAACATAAGAAAGTGTATGCTTTTGGTAGAGACAGAATGCAGCTAAAAATTTGCATAATTCCGACCGAAGAAAAGCGTACGTGCAATTTATAAATTTTTTTATGCAGCTTGTTTGCCCTCAATGCACTCATTCTTTCTGCAGTGAGGGGAGCAAGCGGTCGGTGGTTGGTTTGGTTGGTTGTGCATAAGGTAAGGTGGGATGTGATGCGATGGAATGTACTTTAACTTTCTATCTGACGTGTTTTTACGGCTAATAGCTTATTGACGTGATCCATTTCTAGTAATTGGTAGATTGTTTTAATGGATTAACATTTTGACGCGTATTTGTAGTTCTGATTTTGCTTATCATAAACTACGATTAAAAGTGAAAATACTTCATTTATTTTATAATTAAGTATTTTCACTAAACTGAAATGTCTGATTGCGTTTCTCACGTGTGTCTTTTCATCCCTTTATTGATAATTATACAATTATTAAAGCATATATTTTTATTTAGATATTAACAGAATTTATCCTACGCAATGCAGTGGACCTAGCAATGGAACACCTTGTGTCACATGATTGATTACAGGTGTTGCTAGTTTCCATTATTGGTCTGGTCCCACCATTTCCATTTACATGAATGGTGGATTATTTTATTGAAATAAAACAGAATTATTAATGAGATGGAAGTTTTGGTACATGGATGCGGAGGAAAAGATTTGTATCGTCATCATTAATTTTAAGTTTAAAAAAAGTAAGTCAACTATTTCTTGTCAAATTCCATTTTGTGTTCTAGAAATTTTCGTTACTTCTTGAATATGCCACTGTGATTTATGGCTGATATTCATGAAATTGCTTAGTGTTTTAAGATTTACTATGGAGTGTATCACAATTTGCTTATATTCTGTAGTCATATCATTTCAGATTCACGAATGTGAACTTCTCTACCTCTCACTTCATTGTCTTAATGAGAGGTGAAATTCTCGATCGCAAGTCAACAAGAATATTGAAGCACGCTTTCATGGCTGAATGCAGACTTAGGCATTTCGCCAACGTTTTTGGCGAAATGCTATCTTTTTTGTGCAAAAATTAATAAATTTAATTATTAATTTTGTATAATTTTTCTTAAATTTGATTATTAATTTTGTACAATAATTTTGTACAAAGTATTATATCTCTTTTATAATATTTTTAAAATAATGATGCTTATGCATAATCAGTTGTATGAATTAATATGTATTAAGGCTTTGTATAAATATTAGTTGTTCATTTTGTATATATCATTATTGTTCATTTTGTATATATCATTACTCCTTTTTCCTGTACAATATTTATTAACGCGAGAAGAAATAAAAATACCAAAATATTTTTGACTTACATACTGCAGATCTGTTTTGAATAATAACAAAGTAGCTTCAATAACTGTAGTTTTACGATTGTGCCACTGATTTGCAAAGCAAAAACAAAACTATACGCAAAAATATGAAATTCAAAAAAAAAAACATGCGGTCTTCCCGGGTGGTACTACGTCGTCACTCACGATATTCCACGCAAATGTAACGGACACGAGCAGAAACTAAGCTCTTTGGTTATGCACTTATATAATGTAATATTAATTTTCTCCTCTAAAGTCAGTATACCTTCTGTAATATTTTTAAAGATTAATTTACGATTTTCGTTGATATTTTTGGATAATCTGAAAGTATTACATAGAAATAAGACTTTAAGAGTTCTTGTCTTACTTTTTGATAATAAAATGAATCGCAAATTTTTTTGTGGAAATTAATTTCATAGCATATCTACTCATAAAATATCACTGATTGATATAAGTTGAGCTCTTATATGTTGCAAACTTTTGTCAACAAATTTGAACGCAAAATTTGTTTGGTTATTAGAACTTTGACCCTTTATCATAAAATATGTGCTACAAAGCGATCATTGGAGAATATTGAATTAGTCAAAATGTGCAAACGGAGTTGTATTTTTGACCAATTCGTTGACCAGTTATTATGCATTTTAACAAATATGACAAGTTTTGGGGCATTGTTTAGCCATTAGGTCACGATAAATTAAATTTGTACAAAGGTAGGGATATTTCACGCAATCTGACGGTGCTTTATCTTGGCATTGACCTGAAATATTGTCATTTTGCCATACATGAGCTCATATGAATTATAACAATTAATATAAACTTACTGGGAGGTAATGGAATTACTGGACATGGTGGAAAGGATAGTTGGTTGGCACGTATAATTATTTTTTTCAAATCTGGACTTTGTCTGAGCATCTACATTTTCATGTTGTGGCGATGCATTTGGCGGAGCTTGATCTTGGCATGGATTTAAAATATTGTTACGTACATCTTGCCATACGTGAGTTCATATGAGTTATAGAAGTTAATTTATTTAGAATAAACTTACATTTAGTTGATGGATTCGCTGGACATGGCGGCAAATCTGACTGACCTTCATTCTTGTCTTTTTGTTCGGGATTAATCTTTTTCATATCTCCTGCATTTGCATAGATTTTTTGCTTTTATTCATATGAGTGCTTTTGATGATATAATTCACTTCTTAAGTATTCTTTTCAATATTACTATAAAGGTCAGCCAGATTGAATATCGTCATTTTGCCATACGTGAGCTCATATGAGTTATAAAAATTAATTCACGTAAAATAAACACTTGAAGTAAGTTTTTTAAAGTTAAAATTACTAATTAGATAATTTTGGAACATATTTCTTATCAATTTTTAAGGTAAAAGGTTCGAAAAAAACAGTTTTTAGAGTTACTCTAGATGCAATTTTTGTCCACTATCCACTCATTAATAATTCGTTTTAAAATTAATAATTTTTGAAAAGATTAATTTTATTTTTAAATATTTACTGTTTACTCAATTATCACTTCAATAATTTACCCAAACAATTGTCACTGATAATTTACTCAAGCAAAGTATTAGCTGATACTCAGTATAACAATATTACTGTCTATATTTTAATGTTATGACTAATTCTAGCTGAGTGACAAATAAAAACTTGATTTTCATTAATGTTTGACTAATTAATGATTGCATAGCAAACGAGAATTGCGCAACAAATCCATATTAATTATTTTATTCTATATCAATTAAAATAACCGATGATGTAATCGATAATAACTCATATTAATGATCATAACATCATATTTTACTTGCAACGAAATAATGTGATATAGTTAACTTAATGATATATATGGATATTTATCAATATGCAAATATCACTTATCGTTTTCATTACTATATTAAAATTATCATTGTGAATACTAATATGCAATTAAGTAGTACTATTCGGAAGAAATTTTTGTCAATTTAGAAAAATATTCGTTTTATTGTTTATGTAGTAAAAGTCGAATCATTGAATTATTAAGTGCTGTCTAACTTACCATTTAGTTACTTAAGTTGACCATACTTAGTAAGTAAGCACTTCGTTATATTCACTAATAAAAATTTTTTATTTCATATTAAATTTAGTGACCTACCTTGAGAACTAACATTTCTATTTGTAATGGCGAGTTGGAAACAAATAAAGATAAGTATAAGAAGCATTGCGTATTTTTGAACTTGTAGTTCGAACGTAAGACGTGATAATCTCCTAACGGATTATGGAGTTGTAGAACTTTGACTTTGATTTTATAGTGCTATTATTTATGCTTTCATGGTGTATAATTTATTTATATTTATCTTTGTGGTGTACAATTTGCATAATACACCTTGAAGTGTTCAATGCATTCTGACTTTCCGCACACTTTCTAAATTTCTTATTCATTTATTATATTCTGAATTTGTCGATAAATTTGATACAAATACAAAAACTTTTGAAATGTAACCGCGAAATGAAGAAAAAATAAAATAAAAATATGATAACCATATAAACGGCGAAAAATAAAAATGACAGTCATAACATTAAAAAATGAATTTAAATGTACAGTGAACGTCAAGAAATAAAATTAATGCAACCATAAAATAGATTAAATGTTCAACTGCTGAAATAAAAATATTTGCGAT